GTTTTTGAGACAGGGTCGCACTGTGTAGCCCAGGCTGGCCTGATCAGGCCCGGGAACTGCGTTTTCCAAACACATTGCCAACCCATCCTGCAACTTTGTAGTTATTTTCTCAAGAAAGGCTTAGGGGACCAGCCAGACGAGGTGACACATGCCTGTAATCGCAGCACTAGGGAGGCTGAGGCAGGAGGATTGCCAGGAGTTTGAGGCCAGCCTGGGCTGTATAGTGAAACCCTGTGTCAAAAAAAAAAAAAAAAAAGAGAGAAAAAGAGGCTTACACGAACATGTTCCAAATGTTTATCTGACAGAGAATTACACTGGTTCCTCAATATGAAACCGAGAAGTGTGTGTGTGCTTGGTGGCTGTGCTTTCCCTGTTTTCTTCTAATGCTTTTTGCATTTATTTTCTCAGACTGCGTCGTCTCTAATTATCTCATGGGTCCTACAGCTCCGTTTCTCGTGTCTGTGACTGGGTCCGTGCTTTGGATCTGCCTGTGATGAGCAAGTGGACGATGGGTGAAGCAGGGTGAGGCTGATGGCAGGGAGATCGGGGTGACACCAGGTGGGCGCTGGGGTGGGGCGGGCAGGAATACTGGGCGGCGTGAGGCTGGGAGGGGGCACGCAGCTTCTGGGGAGCAGGGGAGTGGGGAAGCCGATGGCGGCCTCTGGGGTGGGAGTGCTTGGGGCCCGCGGCTCAGGGATTCTCAGTACTGGGGTGCGCTCAGCTTGGGGCCCCAGCAGTAGCACTGGGATGCAGAGTGGGCGGGGTGCTTGGTTCTCCGCCAGCAGTGCCCAGGCCCTGATCAGGGCTCCGGCAGCCAGAGATGAGCCGCGCCCTCAGCTGCGGTGCGGCGGGGGCCGAACCATGTCCGCGGCTGCAGGTGACCCCCGCGTCTGACCCCTTTGGGCCCCCAAGGAGGTCCCAGCCCTTCTGCCCTCCCCAGCAGGGCCAGAGCCCCGCCCCGTGGGACAGATATTCCCCTTCGCTTTCTTGGGCTCCTTCTCAAATCCTGGCCAGCAGGGGGCGCTCAGGAATGCTACTCTCTAGTGATTACCCATAAAACTTTTTTCCGGAAGCTTTTCTGTACCTTGACTACTAGGCTTCGTTAGTGGGGATTGCTTTTTTGTGTTTTGTGTTTTTTGGTTTTTTGCCCATGGTGTGAGCAGGGAGGAATGTTGATGGAAAAGATGATGTTAAACTTTCGAAGGCCAAGTGAAAGCCAGGTGTGGTGCATGCTTGTAATCCCGGGACTGGGGATGCTGAGGCAGGAGGATCCCTTTGAGATCAGTCAAGGCCGGCCTGAAGTGCATAGCAAGACCCCGTCTCAAAAAAACAGACAGAAACAAAAAACTGAGTGAATCACATCAGTCTCAGTCCTCAGACGGGCAGCTTCATCTTTGCTGAAACCTACTGCCCCCGTCCTGTGACCGCGACAGTTCCTGTGGCTTCATCCCACCCCACAGACCTCTGTCAGGCCACAGATGGCCTCTGACCGGGCGACGCCCCGTGAGTTCCACCCCCTGGGACCTGTGGTCCGCTGGCCGGAAGCCTTTATGGTCTTGGGGCTGCCGATAGCTCCAGCAGCCTCCTGGTGAGGACAGGAGCAAAGGCAGAGGTAGGTAGGCTGGGCTGGTGAGCTCTACCCTCAAGCGGGCCCCGCCTCAGGCATCTCCAGAATTTCAGGGTCCCAGGCACCTCCTGGACGCCAGCCCACCCGCCATAGGCTGTGTGGTCCTCTCAGCGTGAGGCTGGCGGGGTGATCGTGTTCTGTTTGCTTCAGTTTTCTTTTCTTTTTTTCTTTTTTTGTCTTTTTGAGACAGGGTCTCACTATGCAGTTCAGGCTGGCCTTGAGCTCACTTTGTAGCCCAGGCTGGTCTCGAATTCGCAATGATCCTCCTGCCTCAGCCTCCTGAGTGCTGGGATTACAGGTGTGTGCCACCACACCCAGTTTTGCTTCAGTTTTCAGTGTAATTCCTTTTCTTTTGGTAGGGGCAGTGTACTGGGGGTTAAACAGCGTCCCTA